TGCAGGTTAAAGAAGGCATTGTACGGATTGCTCCAAGCTCCTCAGATGTGGTTTTCTAAGTTGCGACAATGTTTGTTTGACTTAGGGTTTTGTGGAACTTCAGTTGATGCTTCACTATTTGTGAGGTTGACTGATAAAGCATGTACTTTTGTTTTAATCTATGTCGATGATATTATAGTAACTGGGGAATTGAAGACTGACATTGAAGAAGTTATTAAGCTGCTTGGTAAACAGTTTTCCTTGAAGGATTTAGGTGAGCTCAGTTATTTTCTGGGATTAGAGGTTCAACGGAGTTCTGAGCAATTAGTGTTACGAGAGAGAGTTTGTTCAAGAACTTCTTGAACGTACGTGCATGGCAGAAGCAAAGCCAGCTCCCACACCTATGGTGGTTTCACCCAAGTTGACACCAGATGCCGGGAAACCTTTGTCTGATGCGTTGTTATATCGCAGCACTATTGGGGCACTGCTTTATCTGTCACACAAGGTTAGATATTGCCTTTAGTGTAAATAGGGTAGCTCAGTATATGCATCGCCCTTGTGAAGGGCATTGGTTGGCCGTTAAGCGAATTTTGCAGTATCTTAGTGGTACCATTGACCACAGGTTGGTGTTTCGTTCATCCACCTCCTCGGATGTTCAGTCGGTGACTGCGTTTGCCGACTTAGATTGGGAGAGTAATGTTGATGATCGAAGGTATGTGTCAGGTGGTTGTGTATTTCTGGGATGTAATCTGGTTTTTTGGAGTGCTAAGAGGGCCGCAAGGTCGACAACCGAGGCATAATATCAAAGTATAGCAGACACAGTATCTGAGGTGGTGTGGATTAGGTCGTTGTTGGCTGACATGGGTGAGTTACTTGCAAGTGTTCCTATTGTTTGGAACGATAACACGAATGCTATCGCCATGTGCACAAATCCCGTATTTCATGCTCGGTCAAAACACATAGAGCTCGACTTGCATTTTGTTCGAGAAAAAATCACTAATGGCGTTGTTCACGTGAATTATGTACGCAGAATATCAAGTTGCAGACGGCTTGACTAAACCTTTGTCAAGGACGTCGCATGAATTGTTTCGACAGAAGGTGCAGGTTGCTAATGCTGGAGAGAGATGATCAAAGAGGAGCAGAGAGAATGTTGAAGTGTAAATAGCATGAGCTGCTGAGGTCATGCATAGTGTGTGATGTGATGAGCTGTGCATGGGTTAACCACCTTTGTTAAAGCTGTTATGCTGACATGTATACAGTTCAAGTTTGTTACAATAGCTATATGTGCTATAAATAGCAGTGCGGCCATTCTCTCCTATTTGTTCTCATGGCTTCTCCTCATCACTGCCATATCGATCTTCAACGGCCAAAAATACAAAACCAAACTCGCTTTGTCAAAACAATAAAAAAGTAATGGGAGCATCAAAGGGTAAGAAACAGACAGAGATTTAAGGATCCTCGCATGTGTGCACTCCATGCGAAATGTAATGGGAACCCTTAGTATCTTCACGTTCAACCTTTCCAATGGCATCTCCTCTCTCCATCTTCGGTACCCATCTCATAGAGCTCTCGAAACGAGCCTGCACAGCGACGCTCATTGTTCACGACGAGGACAGCCAGGATGATGGTGCTCGTTTCAACCGGGAGAAAATGAAGACGACCAACATCATTCGTGCGCTCGAGAACTTCGAGAAATCGAACGAGGAAGATGCGGTGACAGTCCATGCGATGTCGGTCATATTCCCTTATGCCACCATGCATGTCGACATAGCCTCGCCGAAGACAAATACGTCAACCTCATCCTCCTATCGTTCCATAAGGAAGTGAAAGTTGACATTAATATGGGACCTAGCAACTCCAGTTACGCTAATGTGAAAAACGTGTTGATGAGCACGCCGTGCTCCGTCGCCATGCTCATCGAACGAGGGATCAGCTCGAAAGTCTTTGAAGAAAAATCCGGCAACTACACTCGGCAAATTGGTGGTGAGTCCGCAGAACAAAATCCTCGCCATGATGAACCATATATATATGCGTGTCGCTGAGGACATCACCTTTCAAAGTACTTTCGATCAACCAAGCGACTGCCGGACGGAGTGCGAAAACACATATCAGTACGAAAACAACGGTAGCGAGTATGGTTTTGTATTTTTGGCCGTTGAAGAACGATGTCGCAATGTTGAGTGTCGTAACCGGTTTTCGTCCGGGCACGAATTTTTTACTTGGTGGGAAAAGTGATGTGAATAAATGGTTTTTTAAAATAATTTGGGAGTCGCCATCGGCCTTTTGGGCCAGGTAGGTCGAATACCTAAAAATTATCTTTTAAAATAGTTTTTAAGAAAACAACAATTAAAAGATAAACTGATCTGCGTTTTAACCAAAAAATTCGTTCTTTTTAATAATAAAAAGGGATTCGTGGTCGGTTACGTTTAGGGAATGATTAGCACCCCTACAACGCCCAAAATTGGTACATTTTAATTAGAAATTGTCTCTATTATTAGAAATTAAAAATTAAAAATATATTTAATTTATAATCCTATTATTTTAAGATTATAATTATGAAAAATATATATTAATTTATATATATTTATAAATAAAATATTTATTTATTTAGAAATATCAGAAAAGGACTTCTAGGTGCATTAAGACAGCTCTTTTCTTTGATATTAAAAAAATAAATAAATAATTAAAACAATTAATATATAATTTATAAAATAAGATATTTATTTATTTAAAAATATCAGAAAATGAACATCCAGTTATTTTAAGATTGCCCTTTCTTAATATTGGAAAATAAATAAATATTAAAATAGGATTAAAATAAGTTAAAAAATAATTAACTAAGATAAAATACATATTTTTTATTATATAAATATATATATATTTATGGTTAAATAATAGTAATAATAATAGTAATAATAAAAAGTAAACATATAAAATTAACATATAACTAAACAATGAACAAAATTAAAACTATATATTTAAAAAAATTGAAATTAGTGACTAAATTGTAACTTAATAGAATTAAATACCTAATTCATAATTAATTATTTAAAAATTGAGTGACTAAATATGCTATTCTCCTTATTTATTAATTTAGTGACTAAACTAAAATTATATAAAATTCGAATATCAGATTAAAATAAATTAAAAATATGTACTCGGAATTAAAATATTAATTAACAAAATTACAAGGACTAAATCTATTATTTATCCTAAAATATACTATTTAATACTAATAAGGACTAAAACATAATAAAATAAAATTCGAAGGCTGAATTAGAACATTTAGAAGTTAGTTTCAGTGACTAAAATGAATAATTACAAAACTCGGATGGCTACAGAAAGGGTTTAGCCATACATGTAAATTACGCATATACCCCTTCTCAAAACGACATCGTTCGGGAAGGGATATATATACCCCTTCATAGCTGGCTCGAAGGGCCAGCCGCCTCATTCTCTCGTTTCTCTTCTCTCTAACTGAGAGAATTCTCTCTCGGTTCTCTCTTCAATTCCCTCATCTGAGGGAATTGAGCTCCGGCCGACGGCCGCGCTTTGGTCTCGACCACCGCCGCCGGCTACCGTATACGGTGGTCGGATTTTACATAAAGACCCCAAAATAAAGCCCCGAACCTTCCAAGGCCGAATCTGGCCTTGGTTTGCCCTAAAAAAACTCTTGATCGGAGCAGATCTATAGAAATACCTTCGGGTATTTCGAATGTTTCCTCGGCACGTAGCGTCTCCGGTCACCGCGTGGTTTCCTCGGTAAGTTCTTTCTCCTTTCTTTCTTTCTGTTTTGTTTGCTGCTGAGGGTTGTTATTATTTTTTCTTTGTTTTCTGTTGTCTGTTCGGTATCTCTTCGTTGCTCTCTCTGGTCTGTTGGTTGCTGTCTCCGTTCTTTGCTTGTTGTCTCCTTGTTTTCCGTGGCTGTTGGGTTTTTTTTTCATTCTTGCAGGGAACGGTGGCTTTTATAGCCACCTCGGTGCTCTTCTTCGAACTGGTTAAAGAATGTAAGCCTCGGTGAGTCACCAAAGCTAGGCTGGTGACTCACCGTAGGGATGGTCGTGGGATGCCATCTGGTGTTCTGGAATTCTCGTTTGGTGTCGTGGCAACGATGGAGCAGCGTGGAGGTTTCTGGCGAGGCGGCGGCTGAACATAGCCCTAGGGTTATGATACCCTAGGATTTTCTTTGCTGGAGTCATTTGGGCCGTTGGATCAAAACTAGATCCAACGGCAGCAAGTTGAGGCGGCTGGATGATGATATGGAAACCCTAATCTAGTTTTAGGGTTTAGCTTGGGCCAGAATTGGGCTCAGGGATCCATTTTAATTGGGCCTGTAATATAATAAAATTAATAATAAATAATAATATTAATAATAATAATAATAATAAATAATAATAATAATAATAATAAAAATCAAATGTAAAAAAAACTAATGTCTTCATTGAGAAGCCACGAGAACAAATCGGAGAGTATGATTGGTATTATCCGGTTCTACATGCAAAGTTGTTGTTTTTTATGGGAAGGGAATTGTAAAGCCTAAAATATGTGGTCAATGTTTTTTTATTTGTTTCATGGAATCTAGTGTTTATATCCGGATTCTCTGAGTCAACTCTGCAGCTTGGTAAGGTTGGTAATCTATATCCTCTTTTGCGGCTGAAGAAAATGACATTTTTTTTTGTTTATTGTCAAAGTCAGATTTCTGTTAATGAGCTAACAAGTTAATAGCTAAGAGACTTAAACAAAACATTCCGTTCGAACCAAACACACTTAATTTTTAAACCGATGATCAGAAGAAACTATTCGTATAATTTACCCAATAGTAAAATTCCATATATATGTTTAAATTTTTTATAAAATCATACATTAATATGATTAAAATTCATATTGTCTTTCCGCAATGATACTATTATGATTTGATCTTTATAAATTATAATTATATGTTAATTCACTAATCATTTAAGGAAACCGATTCAGATTGAGGGCAACAAGTGACTTCTCCAAGATCATTTTGGGAGTAGATGTCTCCTTAACAGGGTATAGTATAATATAGCTAAGAAAGCTATCCAAAAGGGTTGAAACGAATCACCTACGGCCCCATTGTCAACATAAAGCCACTAACAGTATTCACAGTATGGCACAACGTAAATACATAGTTAAGGGTTGATTGAATTCCTAGTGTAACGTGAATGATGGAAACAAACCAACTAGCAAAAAATTCCAATTTTCAGCAGGCCTTCTCTATGAGTCCACTTTCTCTTCATCAGAAGGCGTAAGCCGCATCCTTTTTGCTACTGGTTGCTCGGCTATTTCTGCTGACATGTCATTGCTGGTTATTTGCACATCATGGTCATTTGTGTCCTTGTTTTCAACCATTTCTGAATCCTGATTCAACTGGTTCAACACTGTACTTGGATTCTGATGCGTGAACATAGTTGAATTATCTTCGTGTGGGAAGTCATCAGCTTTAGCCTCCTTGTTTTCAACAGGTTCTGAATCCTGATCCAACCGTTTCAACAACATATCGGGGTTTCTAGACAATGATAGAGTTGAATTATCCACGGATGGAAGGTCTTCACCAATTGTTTGCACATTATCATCTATGGCCTTGTTCTCAACCTTTTCGGCATTATTTTTAATGAGTTCAGGGTCCTGATCCAACCGGTTCACCGCTGCACCAGGATTTTGATGCAACAATAAAGGTAAATCATCGGTTGAGCAAAGGTCTGCATCCACAGTGCTAATCCAGGTCTTGACAGTGTCCTCCGAAGCTCCACAAACTTCACTGATAGACGTCTCCAGCACCTCAACGGAGGCAGGCATGGAAACTTTCTTCAGAGACACTACATTTTCCACGAGATGAGACTGTTCCTGAACTGTATCCCGTCTTTGGATTCGTTCCTCATTAACCTGAAAGGGATTACATTCAATAATCCCAATATCATCATCTTCATCACCAGAGGCAGATGTTTCAGAAGATGTGTCAACTTCATGATCTCCTTGCATGGAAATTTCAGGATTCCATGTACTTCCCATGCCAAAACCTCCTGATGAATATGGAGGTTCACAAGCTTGAGGTGTGATTCCAGAGAACTGCGGAAAACCAGTTTCTCCAGAAGCCAAATAAGTAAACTGTTGACCAGTTTGCACTTCCTGTAAATAAAACAGATTATTTGTAATGGATATGGAAATCCAAGAAAACGTAAAACAAGAATATCAAATTGCAGAAATCCCTCTATTTATCAATTTCTCACAGTTATCGATTTTCCATCATTTTTCTGGTATGCCTCCATCTCTAACATAGCATCAGAAGGTATAGTAAGGAAGTATCATCGGGTTACCATTGCACCAAAACCATTTAAAACCTAAATGTGAGAAGAAAAACATCATAAGAATGATGAAATCCAATACCTCTGTTGGTGATATAGCCTCATTCAGATTGTAATATGGAGGCTGGTCAAAAGATTGAAATTGTCCGAGCAAAGGCCCTGTTGTAACTCCTGGATCAAAAAACTCCCTGAGAACCAGACCAGAATCATTAACACTCCCCATGTTTCTCATAGAAGATGATGCTAACAGAGTCATTTCAATCTCTCGACCTGCTTGAGAATCTAAATTCCCATGATCAGCTACTTCTGTACTGAAACTCCCTGAAATAAACTCCATGCCGTTTTCATTTTTAATCTTTTCAGAAGAATTATTGTCATCACTGCAATGAGATGAACTGATTTCCTGAGAACGAACTTCTAGGAGTTCAAAAATTAACTTCTGGATGAGAGTGCGCTTTAGAGATGCCTCAGTAGGTGGAAACCAATCCAAATTAAGCTGGGCGACAAAGGGAAAAATAGTATAAAACCCATGGATTAATTTTTCTGAACATATGACAAATATATAGATCGATCACAACACAAGTAGTCAACTGGTTATTCTCAGGTTATCTTAAAGAAACTTTTAACTTGGTTCCTCGTCCTGAGACCAAAGTCCAGAACATTTTCCCATTAAAGCATTTTCACGACAACTCAAAACCTTAGATCACATCATTGCTAAATGGACAAATAAAAAATAAAAAATAAAAAGGTACAAGTTATTAAAATTATAAATAATAACATAGAAAGAAAAGAAAAAAAAAGATTGTGCTTGGATGAGTCTTCCATACAGTATCAGACAAAAAGCAACAACTGAACTATGAACCAAAATACCTATGTTGACCACTTACAAAATTAGAGAACTTGATTATTTTGAAGGGGTTGAAGTTAGGAGGAGCTTCAGCTAAAAAGAGCTCTAGATAGTGGAGTAAGAAAAGGCCGCAATCAAATGAATTCTCCTGCTGTGGCAGCTGACAATAAAGATACAAATTATTAGAGAAAAATGCATTATACACAGCCACGAGAAAGACAGCAACTAAGCAATCATCAAGTGTATAACAACAAAGTTACAAAGATGCAAGGCATGACACATTTAGTTCTTCATTTTCCTTCTTTCCCTTTTCAACTTTGCAGTCCCCAACTAAAATAAAGAAGTCAGTTCTCTACTTTACATGCAAGCATACAGACAAAGTTGCAAATTAAATTAATAATCTGAATATATACCCAGAGAGATGACAGGAATACAATCATATAAAAATTAAAGGGCAAACATAAGCACAAACGTGTATCACAACTTCACTTCTCTAGTGAAAAAGGGATTTGTTCTTTGTAAGCTGACATTAAGTGTTAAATATCCTTATAGTGCAAAAAGTATATTTTTTTGATAGAAGATGAGGCCTCATAAAAACCCCCTTTATTTTACCCTCCATGTTATGAAAGTAACATGAAGGGCCTTGAAAGGAGGAAAAGAGCGCCTATAGTTATATTAAACAGTAGAAATAGTACATAGCCAGCCCTTACAACAACCAACAATTCCCAAAACACATAAGACTTAAAGACCACTATCAGCTGGACAACGTAGTCACTAATACCATAAGACTATTAACCAAAAACTGCAGAACAAAGTGAAACAAACATACTAACTCCCCAACTACTAAGAAAGCAAATCAACCTATACCATCCTTAGCTAATCTGTCCGCTTCCCAATTAGCAGCCCTCAAGATAAGCCTTCACGAAATGTCCAACCCTTCCATAGTAGAGACTATCTCCTTCACCAAAGGTTGGAATAAAGGGGTGCTTAGTTCCGGATTTTTGATCCACTTCAGCGCGTTGGATGAATCCGATTCTAAAATTATCTTCTGGTTACATACCCCACCTGAATCAATAAGCAAGCCCAACCCCCTCTTAATCGCCAGAAGTTCAGCCATAATCGGGGGACCTCCCCCAACATTTTCAGCAAACCAATGACTCAACTTACCACTGCTGTCCCTAATCAGGCCTCCTATACCTCCTTTGCTCCACCCCTTCACCATTGCTCCATCAACATTAATCTTTATGAACCCAACTGGAGGAGGAACCCAGCACGAAGGCTTGGATCTTACTTTGTGGCTGACCATTGAATCTGCAAGTGTTAAATCACCCACCAGAGAATCAAAAGGAATATGCGAATCAAAACTAGCAGCAAACCAAGAAACTATTCTAAACCGAGCAATAAAGAACAACAACACCACATCTAACTTCCCTTTCTTAAAAATGACTTCATTCCTAATTTTCCAGACCGTCCACAAGACTGCCCTTGGAATGACTTTCCAAATAATAGAATTCGGAAGAAGCTCGTCCCACTGTGTGATGCACTCTAAAGGTTTACTAGGAATCACCCAATCAACATCCCACAAATTCAAAAATCTGACCCACAGTCCCCAAGCAACCTCACAATGCAGAAAGAGATGGGGAACAGATTCACCAAATCTGCCACACAACGGGCATAAGGGATCTTCAATTCCAGCCACTCCGCGCTTTAACAATTCTGCCTTAACCGCCACTCTCATATGAACTACTTGCCATAAAAAGGTTTCAACACGGGGAGGTGCTATCCCTACCCAAACATTTCTGTCCCAAAAATCCTGATTCCCCTCAATACCATCCGAGTCAAAGAAACTCTTGATACATGAATTAGTAGAGTAACAGCCCTCTCCATTCCCTAACCAAATCCAACAGTCTTCCTCTTCATGCGACAAAGAGGAGTTGTTCAACAAAGAAATCAGATGCAACCATTGGTCAACCTCCCAATCCACCAGATTTCTCCTGAATTGAATATCCCACACCCAGCCTGCAGCATTACTCTCCCTAAATTCCACTACTTTCCCCTCTTTATTCGTCGAAAGAGTATACAATCTGGGGAACAAATCTTTGAGGGGGACTTCACCCAACCAAGCATCATTCCAAAAAGCCACAGAATGGCCATTTCCAGTTTTCCACCTCAAATTTCTCCTAATGCAGACACCAAATCCATCATTAGAAAAGAAGTTATTTATCACTCCTCTCCAAATTCAAGAGGCACGAGCAGTCAAAGAACTCTCAACCTTTTTGGAGTTCGGGTCCAAATTATTAACACAACAGACTACTCTCTTCCACCAAGAATCCTTTTCAGAGGCAAACTTCCAAACCCATTTACCCAACAATGCTCTATTCAGAATAGCTAAGTTCGGGATCCCTAGACCCCCCAACCTTCTCGGCTTACTGACCAAACCCCAATTCACCCAATGAATGTTTCTTTTATCATTCGACCCCCCCCATAAAAATGTTGCCATTATAGAGTTTAATTTTTGCAGCACCGCTAATGGAATTCGAAATAAAGATAGGAAATAAGTGGGAAGAGAGCACAAAACAGATTTGATCAACACCACCCTCCCTGCTAATGCTAGAGAATTTACCTTCCAGCCCGACAGCCTATTATAAAAATTCTGCACTATTGGCTCCCACATTGCAACAGAATTTCTCCTAGTCCCCAGAGGCAGGCCTAAATACTCTGCTGGAAATTTACCCACTGAGCAACCAATTTCCTTAGACCAGTCAGCAATCACATCCTCCTCAATATTGATTCCGTAAATTTTGCTCTTGACTAGGTTAATCTTCAACCCCACCAATATCTCGTAAATCAAACGCACCCTTCTAACATTCTTCAGATCCCGAATTGAAGCCTTTGAAAAAATAATAAGATCATCCGCAAATTGTAAGTGCGATAGCTTGAATATACGATCATTGGCTCCCAACTCAAAACCCGAAAACAGTCCCAAGTCCACAGCTTTAGTTAACATCAAATGAAGCAATTCACCACCCAAATTAAACAACAAGGGTGATAACGAACATCCCTGTCTAAGACCTCTTTTTGTATGAATTTTCTCAGTAGGAGTCCCATTCAGTAAGACAGAAACTGAAGCAGTTGACATACACTGAAACATCCAAGAACGCCATTTTTCGCCAAACCCCATTTTACCCAAAATTTTCAACAAAATTCCCCAATCAACTGAATCATATGCTCTCTGAAAATCCACCTTAAAAACCACCCCCTTCAACCCTTTCTTCCTCCAAAAGTCGATTCCTTCATTCGCTATGAAGGAGCAGTCCAGAATGCTCCTCCCTCGGATAAAAGCAAATTGGGACGGACTAATAATGTCATTAATGCAAAAACTGAACCTCCTAGCCAAGACCTTTGACAAAATTTTGTATAGCCCTCCCACAAGGCTAATAGGCCTAAAATCCCCCATCCCCTCCGGGTTAATCTTCTTAGGAATAAGAGAAATATAAGAATGATTCACCTCTAGATCCCACTCCTTCCCCTCGAAAAAATCCTTAAAAAACAGCATAATATCCTCTTTCAAACTAGACCAGAATTTCTTGAAAAAGCCTAAATTCAAGCCATCCGGGCCAGGAGCTTTGTTACTATCCGAATCAGCAATTGCTCTCCAAACTTCTTCTTCCGAAAATGGCTTTTCAAGTGCTAACCTCTGCTCTTCCGATAATCTTCGAAATTCCAGATTTATATCCTCAGCCTCCAACGAATTTTCCTGAGAAAACAGACCATTGAAAAACTCGACTACAGAATTTCTAATTGAGATAGGATCTTCTATGACTTCATTCCCCACCAAAAGTGACTTAATACCATTGTTTCTCCCTCTAACTGAAGCAGTTTGGTGGAAGAATTTTGTGTTCTTATCACCCTCCAATCGCCATTTCAATCTCGATTTTTGCAACCAAATCGATTCCTCTTTCTTTTGAAGGTCCCATAACTCCCTCTTTGCTTCAATTATTGACCTCATTGTCACCGTGGGAAGGCCTTGTTGCATATCCAACTCCATTTCATGAATTCTTCCCTCCAACTTTTTAATTTTTCCAGGCAATTCGAAATAACCCCTCCCAGACCATCTCATTATCACGCCCTTCACCCTCCTAAACACCATAGATATGGACTTCCCCTTTTCCTCTTTGCAAATAATATCCAGCTCCTTACCCATCATCTCGGTAAAACTCTCCTCCTCCATAACATAGTTAAACAACCTAAACGGCTTCCGGCCCCAATTGCAATCCTTGTTCTCCAGCATCACAATATTATGATCAGAAACTGACCTTGCCTGTAGTGACTGACTTAGCTTCGGGAACAAGCTGACTAATCTCTGATCCACCAAAAAACGATCCAACCTCTCAAACGTAGGAAGTTCCCTGTTATTACACCAAGTAAACCGACCACCCGACAAAGGCAAATCTAGCAGATTAGCCTTACTCACAAAGTCCCTGAAAATATTCATGGTCACCGAATTCACAACTCCTCCTTCTTTCTCCTCCTGTGACAAAACTACATTGAAATCTCCTCCTACGCATACTGGACATTCCACATTACCCAAAAAGGATAATAGTTCCCTGAAAAATGCCTCTTTCTCTGCGTCCAAACTAGGGCCATACACATTAATGAAACAGTAGCTTCCTGGTAGTCCCACCATTGTTCCTTTTAAAGCTACAAATCTGCTATACAGGGCTACCTCTTCCATCACAAATTCCTTCTGATTCCACAATGTTATTAATCCACCAGCAAAACCTATGGAAGGGGCTACAGCCGATCCAGTAAGTAATTTCCCCCCCATTTTCCTCACTAACACATGACTGACAACCTCCAATTTGGACTCTTGCAAGAATAGAATTGTAGGTTTTTTATCATCCACAAACCTCCTAATAGCTCGAGCTTTCACTCTCCTACCCAAACCCCTTACATTCCAAGACATCATCGACCACTCAACCATCCATAGTATATCATAACCTTGCAACTCAGCTACAACTACTGACTCTCCTTCGAATTACTTTCATTCACCAACGGAACCATCTTAGCCATCTTAGCCATAAAAGCTTCCTCTCCTCCTTTAAATTTCACCCCCAACAATTTGGACACATTCCAACACTCCAATGCCTCTGCCACCCCCTCATTCTCCTTCTCTGCAAAGGAAGCTAAGTCCTTGCCATTGCAACTCTTAACTTCCCACCTCCTAGAATAGACATTCTTATAAAAACCTCTTTCAATATTACTTACCGACGCACTTCTCCCAGAATGCCGACGCCTCACCGGTGACATAATCTGATTCTGCAAATATACCGCAGATTGCTCACCAATTGCCATTTCTGCAGATTGGATACGAACAGTATTCGACCTTAATAACCCTTGAACAGGCCCATTCGTTTGACTTCTGACCAAGCTGGTATTAAGCCCATTATCTTGTACACCCTTATCCTGGCCCAAGTTGACTTCTTCCACAGCTCTTTTATTTTCTCTTTCTTCATTAAAATCCTCTGACAATCTCTGTTGACTGGTACCATCACCTACTGCTGTTACCTCCGCAGAACAAAAGTCATTAGCCAACAAATGTTTAGTCCCTTCAATTAAATTCAAATTTCCATCGATAACCGTATCAACCCCTTTTTCATCTCCCCGTACCCATGCTTCAACCCTGTCCTGAGAGTCTGACACAGACTGATCTCCCCACTGCTCATCCTTTCCCTGCTGGACATCCTTCTGGCTCCAGACCGGCGAAAACCCCTCACTAGAAGCCACTGTTCCGTCATCTTCAGCCATATCCTCTAACTCCGGAAAAAACTCATCACTACCTTCCACCTTAATCTTAATCATGAATGACCTTCCATACGTATTTATAATGACATGGGGAGGAATATCAAAGGGACTTTCAACCCTCAATAACATATAAGCTACTCTACAATCCACTCTGTTAGCAGTTTGTTCCTGTATCTTAACTAGCTTGCCCCATCTCGACGCCAAGCTTGTGAAGAAAGGAACTGACCAACAATTCAGAGGAACTCCAATCAAAGAAACTGCACAATAAGGCAATGGCACCCCCTCTTCTTCCATAACTTGCTCCAACCTCTCGAACCAGAAGGACAAGATCTCCCATTTGTTTTCCATCGTTGCGACTTTCTCCTCAACAGTCTGGAAAACTACCAGACAAGCTTTTTTTGCATAACCCCATTGAATCACTTTTACATTGATTCCTTCAGTCCTTAGCGCCCTTTGCACAAACTCAACTTTGAATAATGGCTTACAAATACCAGTTAACGACGATCTCAGCCATGATCTATCCTCCATTGGAATAAAGACTTCCAACTTCTTCTTCACCTCTTTCTTAGCTCCAAAACTCCCCGCTTTCTGGCCCTCAACTTCTTTCGCACCCACAACCATCTCCTTATATGACCTTCCATTGCGAAACTTATTCATCATCTCCATCTTTCCAGAACCTGCCACTTGAGATGATGGTAGTTCCCTGAGCATCCCATCTACACCAGCATCTGTAGACCTCGGCCCACTAGTATGTTTGAGGCTCCTCGGTATACTTTTCTTCTGATATTTGGCAATCGACACCAATATTCTCCTCCCATCGACCGATGCGTTGTTCATCTTTCCAATTGCTAGATGCATATCATCTTTGCAAGCAAAATGCACAAAGGCAAACGTACTATCCTTGTAATAAGGTCTCCTATTAACAAATGGAATGAACACCTTAATCACCTTACCATAATGACTAAAACGCTCCCATAATACATTTCTATGCACTCGCCTACTTAAATTATCCACGAATACAACCCACGATATTGCTCCAGGCGGAGACATACTACTGCCCGGACGAACAAGACCCTTCGAACTCTCTCTCGCTCTCTCTCTACCTTTCTCGCTCATTATCCTTCCAATGTCTGTTTCGTGCAAAAAGTATATTTATCATGACATTAAGTGGAGGTAGGATAAGTAATCTCTTTGAATGATAGGTTAACACGCTGCTCCAAGACAACAACAGCCCAACCCCAGAAAAAAAAACAAGATTATCAGATAAATTCAAGTACAGAATTAAACGGGACAAGAGATCATAATATTTGGAATATTCTCCTCTCTTCTTGAATCCCTCAGAGTTGTTAAGGAAATTCTTATTCCAAGACTATCATGAAATAGCTAAATATTAAACCAAAGTTAGCTGTACCTCGAGTGAGACAAACCGCAAGTTCAAGAATTTTGAAGAAAAATCTTCAGATGTCTCCTTGTGCCTCTCTTTCCACTCTTCCCAAAGGTAACTGTTAATTTCAAGAACAAAAGTCAGGCCGAGAAATTATGCGATATACCATTCAAAATGCATACTAACTAAGTAGGGGGGAGGGGGTTTAAATATCCAAACAAGCACACAAGGTTGAAATTAAAGACGTAGATGAAAAGAATCAAAGATTCAACATGATGGACGGGAAGAAATTATTCAATAAAGAAGTGTATGACTACATTGGACAAAAGTGGAAAAGATCAATTCTTAAAAGGGCTATACAAGACCAGTAAATACAAATATGGATTGGACCCCGTCATTTTATTAAAAAAAAACTCAGTTGTACGTTTGCGGAAAACTAGCAAGGACCAAGTGTGTTATACAAGGGTTCACACATAATCCTAGAGAAAATTATGAAAATAAATTTGCATAAATTCTGAGTAACTAGCAGCAAATTTTGTTCAATATAAACATACTAAACATAGCAAAGATATATGGTATGACAGTTTAAGAGATGAAAAACAGAAATTAATAATCTAGAAAAAAATATCAGCACTTTTAACTTAGAAAAGCAAATCAGTAAAGGCATTGAAACCTAACAAGGTAAACTTACATGCAAATGTATTTATGAACTCAAATATATTGTGTAAAAGCATTAAAATACCTTTGGACTAGATTTTTAAGACCTGCATGGTTTCCTCTGATAGAATCCATGTGCAATATGCATGGTACCTTCGATGATTTGGCCAAATCCTCATCTGAACAGAAAAAATATGCATGAATAAAAGGCCTATTCCCCAAAAGCTCTTGTCCAGTCAAACAAGAATATACCTTTAAAAGCAGCCACTTCACCAGGATGACATATGACTAGCAAACTCCAATGAAGGCTGTGAGTAATATGCAAATACACTTAATGTTAGCTCATAAGTTCTTATATGTATTTCTTAAAACAAATGACTCTGAGGACAAATTTCTTACTTGAAATTTACTGGTATAAAGATGTAATCTTTTCCAAACATGTCCAATTTTCTTGTCCATTTACGAACTCGCACGAAAGCAGCCCTGCCATCAGAAATACTGGATGGATCTTTGTCAAGATCAGCAAGTTTCCGAAAGAAAAAACTATTAAAAAAATGGAATCTCTGCCTTTCTTCAGGTTCTATCTGATTCTTTAAATACCTGTCAAAAAAAATTTATATTCCAAACTTGAGCCTGCACCATTCCTTAAAAATAGAAACATATGCATGATAAAAGAATTAAAATGATCTTACTTAATGTAGAAGTCAATGATCGTATCATTGATGAAGGTCTCTGGTTCTAACAGATCAACATCTCTCTTGCTAATGGAAACAGCATCAAAATCACCTTTTGGATATATAACCTCCTCAAAAGGCTCATCAAAACTGCAAATCAGGTGTTGTTGGCATAGAGCATAAGCAAGACTGGGTCATGAAATCGGTAAACAAACTTGAAACAATAAAGAAAATATGGACTTTTAACCCCTTTGTGTGTGTGTGTGTGTGTTGAAGGGAGAAAAGAGAGAGAAAGGGGTTGATGTCCCATAACTTACTTTGGAAAATAAGACTTATGTATTGGTGAATCATCCCCATCCATTTCCATCAGTGGACTGAAAATAAAAATGAGTATTTTAGCCATGCTCTTAGATTTAACATCATAATATCATGACAGGCACGAAAGTATCAGTCTTTGTTAAGGCAACAAAAATTGCAAATGGAACTCTAAGCAGCCAATTGGAGTTGAATGACAACTTTGAAAGGAAACGTATATTTAGAAGCTTACTCAAACACAATATTCCACATGGCCAGGTATTTATGATTTAATGAAGTGATTGCTTCCTGTTTCTCAGACCATCTGGAGTCAAATACCGTGAACTTTAATTCCTCAATAACTGGAATACACATGAGCAAATAAAGTCAGATAAAATGAAGGAAAAGAAAAATATTAGCTGAGAACTAATTCCCATATGATGATCAGAGTATACGATAAACTTAGGCCAAGGCTTCAAACCAAACAAAGAAAAATAACTGAACAAGGTTAAAACATATCCTCAAAAATCTTCACCCATATAGGCAAACAAATGTATGGATCTACGAAAATATGAAACAAATTTTACAAGGAACAAAATAAAAAAATAGCTATGTAAGGCCACTAACATGAAGTGCTACATTCATTCTCAGCCTCTGCCGCAACCTTTGAGAGGACTTTCAGATTGACAATCATACACCCACCCTACGATGCAGTCCACACAAAAAACTGCATACTGTTAAAATCAAGATGTACAAAAGCACTAACCTAAAACGTTTCCATTCATGACTCACCCTTTGAAACCACTGACAATGGATGTTAATAATATCATCAACTCCCCTTTCAAAACTAAAGGCCACATGGTGATAACTCACAGTTGAGCACTCAATTTTGATGCCATCAGGAGAAAAAATGACTGATACCCCTGTATAATAATTATCTTGATATACAACATATTCCGGACATATAACAACTTCTCTATCTATGTTATCCTGCCAAAAAAAAAAGGATAATTGAAACAACTAAGAAAAGCCTTCAGAATATCACGTACTAATAATATTGATCTTATTGGCTAATAATTTTCTCTAGAACTGTTTTAACATTCAACTAAAGAAAAAAATTAAAATAACATCATCGAGAGGGTAAATATTAAAATAACTATACCCAGAGTTTTAACTCAGGCAATAGCCTACTTGGCATAAGAATGAAACCTCTAAAGATGAAAACCCCTAATATCTGTTACTAATAAATTTAAAAGGAAAGGAAATTACCATAGGGATATTTCCATCAAAATGATCTACCACATTGCCATTCAAAGAAACTGAAAAATGCAGATAAAAAGATTTAGAAAATATTAAGAACCCCTAAAAACAATTGGGAAATGAACATAAAATTTCCAATCCAAAGGAATACCATTATCCTCTGCTACATCAGAAATAGGATTTGATGTGGATCTTTCACTCATGCTTCCATTACCATCTGAAGTCATATCAACTGGCTCGTTCTGCAAGAGATATAACAATCTAAGTGCAAGCCAAATTGAACTTAATTCAAAATGTAATTTAGGAATAACTGGAAAAGTACAATTAATGGAGAACTTGAAAGGGGACAGCTTAATTGTCTTTTCCCAGGTGAAGGTGCTTCAGAAAATGAATTTCTAGACTCAAACTCAGGAAAGGTACTTCCACACTTATGCATATATTTTTCTAAGTCTGGCTGTTGTTCAGAACTTGTGGACTTCGACTCTGGGGAAACATCCAGCTCAGTGTTTCCTTCCTTGGCAAATTCATTTTCACCAGGACCCAGCGAGGCAGCAGGAGTAGCCCCATCAATTCCACCAACATCTATGCAAGGAATGTTGTCCATTTCTTTTCTCTGAACCGCAGCACCATGGGCAACTTAAAGCAAATGCAAAATAATTACTATCAGAATGCCGAGAATTAAATATGAAATATCCACACATGATTCAACAATTATCCTACAATACAAGTTTTTGAATAAATTTTGCATATAACATTACTTTAACCACCAAATTCAACAACCATTGCTGAACAAAGAGAATACAATTCATACTTTTTAAACTCAATCACCACATATACAGAAAAGAAGAAAACCAATAATTAAATCTATAGAGAATTCCCTGTAGCATATAAAGAAACAGATAACCCAAACCCAAGCAATCCAAAGAGGAACATATGTTTTCATGCTAGTAAAAGAAAAGACTATCAGCTTAAAAGACAAAAGTCAATCTTCACATCGATCAAACAATCTAGAGGATTGTAATTTGCAGTATTTCCACATCTTGATCGCCATTACTCGACAAGGGATTAGAACTAAACTCTCAATCTACTAATGGCCACGGACCCGGAAACATTCCAGTTCACTGGATGTGAATTCAGAGCCCGCATTCACTAAATTATGGAGTTCAAATCAAAACAGTCATTGCAAACTGTTCCCCACAACCTCGTTGCAAAGTTGATACGACCAAATTCATACAATTATTAACTACATATGATTCACTTCGTTTTCATTGCCCTAACCTTACTAAAAAAGGTAAGGGTTTTGTCCATTTAAAATTTGACAGAAAATCCGATCGTTTTCTAGGGGCTTTTTACAGCGCCCAAAAAATATTTAAAATGAAAATAATAAATAAAATGAAAAAAATCTTTGTTTTAGAAACTTACCGCATTCGAGAAACTGACATTCCATAGTCGCCGGGTCATCGGAATTAGGGTTTCTCAATTTGCAAAAGCATTTATCAGCTGTCAATTCTGAAATCCCGTCTTCCTCCTTGAATTCGAACACTTCGAAACCGTTGTTCATCGGCGCGTGAGAGAACTATATGTTAAAACGAACAAACGTGTTGGTAACTCGGTGAGTCGGAAATCGAAACTCAGTGAGTAAACGTGTAGGAGACCAATTATTACCCGCGATCTTCCAAGAAGGAGAGGAAAGGCACTGCCCTAATTTCCGAGTAAAAGAACGAATTAGATTAGAAGAAATCCAGTTCGAGTAAAAACTAGGGTAAAATATACATTTAGTACCTAAACTATAAGTTTTAGTCTATTTTAGTATTTATACTTTCAATTTTTTTAAAATCACGTCTAACATTTAATTTTATTTCATTTTAGTACCCTCACCGTTAAAGACTTAATGCACGGGCTGACGGTGCATATATCCGGTGAAACGATCAATCTGAACTGTGGACCACGAGAGAGTGATGAGTCTACCAACATAGTCCAATTTCAGGCCCATCGAACGATTGACAACGGAGATCAGAGGATGAAAAAATCGAAGAGTTCATCGTCAATTTGGGAAGATTGAAGCATTTCCCGGTGAAACGAAGGTCAAAATTGCCTTTAGCGGGTCGAAAAAGTACAAATTAAAAAGTTTGATTTTCATCAGTCGACGACTGACGACTGACGACTATAGACATGGCGGGTCGATGAGCTCTTCTGTTAAATTTTTAATGGAATGGTACTAAAATGAAATACTAAGTATAGTTTTGAAGAAAAGTAGAAGTTTACGTACTAAATGCATAGTTTAACCTAAAAATATTACAAACGTGTTGGGTTTAGGATAATTAAGTAACGCGCAAGTTCAGAGAGTACATAACACGAATCAATCAGGCGATAGAAAAAATAAATGAACAATTATCTTGGCGCGTAGGGTTTGGTTTATAGGAAGTTAATGGGACAGGGAAAAGGGATTTATTGGAAGTGTCCCCTCTTAATTTGGATAGTTTTATGTATTGCCGCTAGACCTTTTTAGGTAATTTAATAGTGATCTGATTAGCACGAATCAAATGACATCGGTGATAAAAGAATTGTTGTAATTTCTTGAGCAATTGGAATGTCAGGGGTGTGAATACTAATTGGATAGTTTTATGTATTGCCGCTAGACCTTTTTAGGTAATTTAATAGTGATCTGATTAGCACGAATCAAATGGCATCGGTGATAAAAGAATTGTTGTAATTTCTTGAGCAATTGAAATGTCAGGGGTGTGAATACTAAATGTCAAATAGTTGAAAGTTATATGTTATTTTGAATAAATATTATCTTATACTTACATCAGATTGATCAAAAAAATTATTAGTGATATGATTAACACTAAAGTTTTTATTGTAGATTTGTTTAATTTGATATTTAAACCTCAACATCTTACTAATTCCATAATTAACAATTAATTATGGTAATTAATATTATTGAATTCTAATTAATCTGATTATTTGAATAGATTAAATAAGAAAATTAACAATTCAACTAGTTTAAACTAAAATATCAAAATAGATATAAATAAAATCATTTTAAACGACTTAAAAAAATGAATCGAGACAAAAAATAACCTAATAAAAAAAATTAACTTTATGAACTTTTATTTTTATTCAAGGGCTGATTACATCCTTGTAATTTTTGTAGTCACTTAGGTCAAAGTTCAATTAGTATTGTTTTTGCATATTGATGTATTCCACTTATATTCTTGTTGGTCGGTAAGAAAAGCTTGAACTGCAACAACAAATAGTACTATTAAAATTTCTATATCCGAAGGAAGAACGATGATGAAATGAAGCCAAGACCAATCACCGATCTTGCATGCCTATGTGGACAAAAGACGACAGACAGCAAATGACATTGTTAGGAGGTCAACGTTCGATTGAGTAGAGTAAAAGAATTTCGAATTATTCGAGTTAACGAATCCTATTTTACAACTCATACTTTATTTGAAATTTTTTTCGAGTTGAGTCGAGTTTATAAAATTTGAGTTCAATCAAATCGAGACAATTTTTCGAGCTTCTGTTTAAATTTAATTGTAAATATTTATAATATTAAAATATTATTTTATTTCAATTTAATTGACTTTTTATAACCATATATACAATTCAAATATACTTATTCATATTTTGTTCATACATGTGTATATAGGGGTGAGCAACGAAACCGAGAAAATCGAAAAACCGACACGAACCGAGTAAAACGGTTCGGTTCGGTTTGGCTTTAAACGGTTCGGTTTTCGGTTCGATTTAAAGGCTTCATTTTTTTGATTCGGTTCGGTTCGGGTTTTCCATATGGAACCCATTTGTTTCATATTGAACCGAATAGGCAATTTTTGTAAAAAAAATTATAGTTTCAAATGATTTTTTCATTGAAAAACCGAAAAACCGAACCGAACCGAAAAACCCGAACCGAACCGAAAAAACCGGTTTCGATTTTTTCGGTTTTTTAACTATTCGGTTTCGGTTTCGGTTTAAATATTGAAAACCGTTTATTTCGGTTCGGTTCAGTTTTTGGTAAAAAACCGAACCGAACCGAACCGAATACACCCCTATGTGTATATGTATAAAATCCAAGGACTCGACTCAAACTTAAAAATAAATCCTTTAATTACTAAAAATTTCGAGTTATTCGAGTTGCATTTTACAACTCGAATTTGAAATTTTTTCGAGTCGAGCTGAGTTTATGAAATTGCAACTCGAAGTCAATTCGAGTTGAGTTTTTTTTCCAAGTAGAATCGAGTCGAAAAATTCGGTTTTTTCTAGTCGAGCTCACCGCTAGCCATTATAATTATAATGGAAATAGCAGCTGAGCATCAAAAGTTGCAGAGAACTGTCTCTCTCTTGCATGCCCCTATGAATCTTCACAGACAATCCCAAGCCATCAACCACCACAGCCATCTTCAAAACTGAAATCTAACACTATAAAAGAAGATATATTTGATCAGAATTCAGAGACTATCTCTTTGAGCTTTAAAAGAAAACGGGGATTGCAAGTGAAGGAAAAGAGGTTGAGAATGCTCGTTTGGTAATTTCAGTCTTTTATTACGAGGGAGTGCCCGAAACTTCTGCTGCCATACAAATCAAAGCAAAGCTTCCACCATTTTCTTTCACAAGTGTACGTGGAGTGGACAAATGGAGAAGACGATACTAGCTCTAGATTAGCAAAGCTTCTATTGTTTTCGTTGGTTTTGGTCCGAGAAGATGACAGTGTAGGTGAAGGAGGCCAGTGAGTGACTATCAATTTAGAAGTTTAGGTGAAGATAACACCATTGTTGATTTTGCAGGGTTACAAAGTTATTGGCTATAGGGAAGCCATTATAAAAACTAAAAAAGGAGAAGCAAGTTCTGGACTTTGATGATTCAAGATGGAATGTGTTAAGCAGTTTCGATGGATGAACGGGCGGATCAAGACCATTGGTCTCTCATTCAATTGACAACGGGATTTAGGTACGTTCGAAGGCATAGACGACCGCTAAATGAAAAAAAAGGGGGACAAATTAAAAAAGAAAATGCACCAGCCGGGCCGTGGCAGGATATTAATCTACCACTAAACCACCGGTGCCACATGCTTAAATCTAAAGAAAGAAATAAAATTAATCTTGAAATAACGATATTTACTTTGAAGGCGACAAATAGACAATTAAACCAAATTAATTGAATAAATTAAACATGTAACTAAATTTTTAGTTTATTTGATTTTCAATTCAGGTTTGTTTAATATATGGTGCTTATTATTATATTTGTATTTTTTAATAATAAATAAATCCGAAAATATAAATGGTAATGGGCGGCCGTACGAGGGTTATGGGGTATGATCTAGGGTTCAAAGATTTTAGGGTCCAATCTAAAGTCTAATGATTTGGGGTTTTATTTTGGTGTTAAAGTCAGGTGGCAGCATAGGGGTTGCAGATTTGAGAAAAAGGCATTGGAGTGTACGACGTAGATTAGGATGGGTTGATGGTGTCGTAGAATAATTGGGTATCATCAGGCAGAGCAGCTTGTGCTAGATAGGGGAATGGACGGCGCGACCAAAAGTAGGGTGTTGGCCAGATCAACGAGTGCTAAAAGAGATGACTAATTAATAGAGGAAGATGAAACTCAAAAACTACCCTTCACTTGGAATCGATTGAGGTAGATGAGTAATAGAGGAAGATGACAAGGTTTCCTTTTACCTTCCTAAACAAAAGAGATGACTTTATTTCACTCATCGAACCCCACTGATTCTTATTTTTGGATAATTTGTCTTACAAAAATGTCATCTTTACTTCTTCTTTTTTTCAACCATTAATAACATTTAAAATAATTTTTAAATTAAAATCTTAAATCTAGTGGATCAAAGTTCCTCCTTTGTTGCTTGAATCAAACAATGTGTATTTTGAACGTAAGGAAAAATAGTATAAAGATGTATAGTTTAGATGAGAAGATACATAATTTAGTGTGAAATTTTCATGGACCGATGAAATACTATACATGTAAATGTATCCAAATATATACAAGTACTAGAACAAGTTCAATGTAATCTAAGATGAAACTTCCAATCTCAAAATATCATATATATATATATATATATATATATATATATTATATGTTCATATTTTCTTTAAACCTAATACATATAATCATATATACGTATTCTTGCAAGGGTTCAGCTTAAGAGGGAAGCCTGCAAAAGAACTCAAAAAAAGAAAACAATTAAGCACAAATCTTGCAACCTCTATTTTATCTATACACAATGCTCGAAATTAAAATTATTGAATTTTTTACTACTCGACCTAATAAATATTCATCACGAAGTTCGATTTATTTAACTTACCCTAGTTTGAGTGAAATGTCGGAGCTATCATCTTCAGGTGGAGGGCCGCTGTTGCAACCGTAAACATTACTGGCAGACTCCGATGAGTTGCAACATCTGAATCTGCTAAGACAAATCTTGTCTTTGCACAATGTCGCCAACTGAATATTGACATACCAAGAATCTTTTGCCAATGTTTTTATAAGTTACTTGCAAATTGAAGTATTCAACATATTACCATGGTAACTAGTCTGCTTACTTTATCTTTAAGTTGCTTGTTCTCTTCCAGCAACTTTGCTCCCTGTCGTTATCATCGAAGAGATAAATAAGCACATAAAAGAACACAAAATTCGATGTGAAATCGCAAATAAAAACTAAACAAAATTGAACACAGATCTTACATGAAAGTCCCAGACGAAAAAAGTATCAGAATAAAAGAATAAATCCATTGTCCTCAAAATTGTAAAAGAGAAAGAAACTTGAGCATCTCCCCCACGTGAATGGAGTAAGACTTAAATATAAAAAAAAAATTATTTAAGTTCAAAATAATAGAAAATAATTAAGTATTTATTTTCAAAATTTGAAGAGGCAAAAACTTAAAACTTAATTTTAAACTAAAAATACCTAAAATACTATATCAAAAATTTTGGGAGAAGCAATAACCTTCCTCCAATTCTCCATGTGCCTTGGTCTGTAAATCTCAAGAATCTTTGTATTCACCACAAATTCCTATTTTTTTCTTCTAAAACAATTCATCTCCAAAGAATTAAACCATAAACTTCTTAAACGACACCAAATGAAATTCAAATCATAATCTCGAACAAATTTCTATAATAATTTTCATAGATCCGACAATGCCAGTATGATGCTATTAAACGGCACAAAATATGAAAAATGAAAAAAAAAAACATGACAGAAAAATATATGCGAATGTCAAAATGTATATACATAAAACAATCCGTTGTACAAACCTTGGTTTCTAGTGAAGAGATCTCGTTCATAATACGTTCAACCTGAGAGAGAAAAATGGGAATACAAAAAAAAAAAAATTATTACAATGGACAAAGTAAAGAATTCACTTTGCAGATGAACTCGTATGAACCTTGGTCTCAAGAACTCGCGCGACTCCTGATTCCACCAGCTTCTCGAGTCGCTGCAATTCATCGATGTTCAACCCTTGAAGATCTTCTCCTCTCATCTGCCTGTTTTACACAAAGACATCATATGTTATACGTCAAATTCCCTTCAACAACAGTCAACAAGTCACTGAGTACTGACCTTAATTCAAGGGTTTTATCAGCAGATTCCTTGCTCAATCTCATCTGATCACTGTTTTCCGGCTAAATTTAGAAAAGAAAGAACAAAATAATGAGTGCATAGTACGGACATTAATTTCATAAATCACCTGAAGACCGAGAGAGGGTTGATCCAATTTGTTGGGATTGTTGGTCTGCGCATGGCACCTTCCCAGTATATCCTTCATGCCACAGGAAGAAAAAAAAAAGAAGGGAAATATTGCATAAACAAAAGATTTATTCAAGTGAAAACCATGCCTAACAGATATTATTTGCTCCAGTTAGCAATAAATGGAATGTAGGCTAAAATGCTAAATGTTGGTGGGTTTACACTTACACTTCACAATGAATCTTAAATTAGGAGTACATGAACCAAGCAATCGAGCTGAATCAGTTTTTCTTGCATTGTCTCTAAAGAACAAAATCCACAAATACTAGTACTACTTCCCATAAGCTGAGGTTAAAGTCGAAACACTAGAATCCACCCACGCACACCAGCCAGCTCTTACAAGGTTAATTATAACCACGCTATTATAAAACGCAATGCAAAAAGCTGCCATAACATTAAATATGCTACTATAACCTGGGACTTAAATAACAGTCTATTATTAAAAATAACCACCATTATATGGTGGTAATAGTATCATCAGAAATTGTTATTGTATGATTGTGATACCCACAATAACCACGATAGTATTCTTTATATCCACAATTATAATAAACACAATCGAAAACAAGTTTGCAATAACCATTTAGATCCCAGTTTTAACATTAACTAAAAAAACTATTAGGAAAATGATTCAGGATATATTTATGTCAAAGCCTCAAAGGTAACATACTTGTAATGTCAAATTCACTTCTACTATTTAATTAAGTAATCATTTGGGTTCTCTTCTTTTTCTGAATTAATTTAATCCAACGTTTGATTTTGAATCAAAATAATCTTGGCTCGAAGGAAATCGTTAGTTGACTAACAGTCAATGCTTATCATGGACATGATAAGTCTTATGTGCCCAAAGTGTTGATGCAGTACTGCCACGTGTACATAAGCAATGACGTGACATATACCACATGTATTTAAATAATGACGTGACATATTTTATGTGTACATAAGTGATGACATAGCAAATGATGACTTGACATATCACGTGTCTAAAGTGATGACGTGGCACATACAATGTATCCAAAGTGATGATGAGAGATTTACTATGTGTCAAAAGTGATGATGTGTCATATAGCATATCGGTTATTTGGATACATAATTTTTTTTAAAGAAATGAATACATAAATCTTGACACATAAACAACAAAAGTAAACTAACCGCTTTCGTTCAATCAAGAATCATTATTGTTTAATAAAAAAGAGTAAAACTTAAAATAATTATTTAATCAAATATTAGGATAAATTTTGATATTATGTGTTAATATTAATATAGTTTAAAATATGCAAAACAATTATCTTCAATTAGTTCATCTTATAAATCATTCCCTCGATTTATAACATCATTTTTGTCTTAACGAACATGAGTGCATCTGAAGGGCGTCTTTACCAAAAAATCACCCTACTTTTTTTATTTTCATGTCAGACACCGTTAGAGAAAAATTTACCGATCTAGCACCCTTTGCAGAAAGGTGCGGATGCTGATCCGCGCCTTACGCTGATATAGCGCCACGTGTGGTAAAGAGCGGATGATGATCCGCGCCTTACGCCAGTTGGCGCCACATGATTCGCGCCTTTCATAATTGTATCTGAATTTCTCGTCTTTTAAACTTCCCCCCTGGGCTACAAATAAGACCCTCTCAACCCGTAAACATCACCCATCAATTCCTATTATCTTTTCTTTACAAGTTCATTCGATCTTTCGTTGTAAGGTAGTTTTTTTAATATATAATATTTTTTATATATGATTATTTGAAAAAACTTATTGTACTAATTATTTTCTATTATTTTTTGTGGTTGTAAAATTGAAAAGCGGGATCATATGTCGAAACATTTTTGTTGATACGGTAATAATATAAAATTATGTTATTTAAATTATTTAAGTTTATTTTTAAATATTTTATTGCGTTATATTTTTATTCATATATTATTTATTTGATTAGGCTTATTTCAACTATTATTTTTGTATATATAAGACTGTCTATCTTTCAAACTCTCAATATGACGCGAATTTCAGCTATTGTTTACTATGATGGAGAAATTCGGAAAGATGAAACCGGCGTTGTGTTCGCATCAAATCATTCTGTTAAAATATCCTTTAAGAGAAACATAACTCTTAAGGAGCTGATAACAAAGATTTCAAGGAAGGTTAATGTTAGATGTACTAGAAGACTGTCGTCGCTTTAGTACAGATTTCCAACATCAATGTTTCTATTAACTTATACAGCATTCGAACTATCGAACGATGATGATGTTGCAATGATGGTTGATTCTCAAAATCATTATTCAGGCGCCGATACAGAGATGTATGTAAAGTTTGTTGAAGTACGTGCTATTTGGGGTATGTCATTACGCTCCCAATATGGGTTGGCTCAATAAACTGATCAAGTTGATAACCCAACTACAGTAATATGTAATAATTTTAACGCCATAATGGGAAATCCGCATCATGGTGTCATCCCATCAAGTTCAATAGGGAGACATTCATCATCAACTCCTTACGATATGTACTGAGACGGGTCCACAAACAATCCATATGGTAATATCGCGTCTAGTTCAAGGGGAAGACATTCATCTGCCAATTTCTTTGACCTAAATATGGAGATGCCATCGACGCAACAATCTTTGCAGTTTTCATTTGACACAATGACTTCAAGCTCCATGGGGATGCATTTTATTGTGAGCTTCTTTGATCTCAATGTCGAGATGCCTTCAATTTCAAGGGGAATACATGCAAGTACCAGGTTGTTTGACCTAAATGTGGACAGCGTGGAGAAACCCTTATCTCTACCAGAAGAACCGCTTCGTGAGCCAGGTATGGATGGCACTGAGACTGAACTATTCATTTACCCAGAATCACCGCAGTTCAACATAGACTCCAATGATGATAATGATGTAGATGAAGTTCCCACAAATGTATGAAGCTGACTATGGTACAATGTACGGGCTAGAATTTACGGATATGCCTAATGTCAGTTACTATGGATTTAACTCATCAATAATTAATGATGAGTTATATAAAGGAATGGAGTTTTCAAGCAAAGATGAAGCGATGAGGGCAATTAAAAATTACAATATTCGTAATTCTGTTCAGTCCAGAGTCGATTGCTTTACGACTGAAAAGTATGTCTGTTAATGTGTCCAACGTGATAACGGAATCCTCCTATCAACTGTAGTATACATGCCCGTGCATACACTTTTACCTGCTCTTCCGAGGCATCGATACTCAAATGCTTGAAATTTGTATCCAACCAATTTAACGGAATCCGACCACCGATAAAATTTGGTGGGATACGTCCTAGATATTCCTGGCAAAATGAATTCCAGTTACCGTGCGCCACCCCTGAAAGCACATCTCCATCTACCGAAAGCCCCAACTGCATGAAAACATCCTCCAGCATAATCGTGCAAACTCCGCACGGAAGATGGAATGTGTGTGTCTCCGGTCTCCACCGTTCGACTAATGCAGAAATCAGGTTGGATTCTACGTTACAGTAGCATTCATATCTAGCTACGGAACTGAATTCATCCTCGACTAAATACAACTAAACACAGCTTTGTATCTCTAATTTAAGATTGCGGATAAAAGGATCTAATATACAGTCTCTCTCCTAATTTAATAAATATTACAAAAATTAATATATAAACTAATAAAAATAAATAAATTATTACTAATAATTTAAATTAAAATAGAATATAAAAATGTTATCGTATCAGCAAAATGCCTCAAGATATTATTTCCATCCAAACGCAGCAGACCGCCTTCCATTTTATAACTGTAAAAAAATAATATAAAAAATTTAATAAAATACTAAAATATTAATTTAGTAGAATATAATATATTACATTCTAAATCAAATTTGACCGGGTTTTAGCTTTAAGAGGATTTGGCTTTTGATATGGTTTGAGAGGATTTGGTGTAGTGGAAATAGTAGAGAGTGGGTATTTATAGGTTATGGGATTGGGTTTGGGCGGATATGTATTATTAATTGAGGGAGTGTGAACGGTTGAAACTTAAATGAAAGGCGCGGATGGTGATCCACGTCTTTCTGGCACGTGTCAGTTTTACAGAAAGGTACGGATGATGATTCGCATTTTACGCTGATATATCGCCAGCTGGCGTAAGACGCAGATCATCATTCTCGCTTTACAACACGTGGCACCACATTAGCGTAAGGCGCGGATCATCATCCACGCCTCTCTGAAAAGGGTGCTAGATCGGTAAATTTTTCTCTAATTATGTCTGCAAATGGTGCAAATCATCATCCCTACTTTTTATTTACGTGTTAGACACCGTTAGAGAAAAATTTATCGATCTAGCACCCTTTCCAGAAAGGCTCGGATGATTCGCGCCTTACGCTGATATGGCGCCACGTGTTGTAAAGCGCGGATGATGATCCGTGCCTTACGCCAGCTGGCGCCACAACCGCGTTTTTTTGTAAAATTGACACGCACCGAAAAGGCGCGAATCACTATCTGCACCTTTCATTTAAGTTTCAACCGTTCACACTCCCCCAATTAATGATACACATCCGCTCAAACCTCATCTCACAACCTATAATTACCCCCTCTCTTCTATTTCACCACACCAAATCCTCTCAAATTCAATCAAAATCCAAATCCTCTTAAAGTTAAAATCCGGTCAAATTTTATTTAGAATGTAATATATTATACTATACTCTACTAAATTAATATTTTAGTATTTTATTAAATTGTTTTATATTAATTTTTTTGCAGTTATAAAATGGAAGGCGGTCTGCTGTATTTTTAAAATGGGGCTTCCAGTAGATGGAGATGTTCTTTCAGGGGTAGCGCACGGTAACTAGAATTCATTGTGTCAAGATATCTAGTAGGTGTCCCGCCAAATTTTAACAGGGTTCGAATTTCGTAAAAGTGGTTGGATGCAAATTTCAAGCATTTGAGTAACGAAGCCTCAGAAGAGTTGGTAAAAATATATGCAGGGACATACATACTATAATTGATAGGAGAGCTCCTAATGCCGGACAAATCGCGCAACCAAGTTCACTGTA